CACCTCCAGTAAAATCACAGGGTTCACAATCTAATAATTGGTGTTAAAAGGATTGTATTTTGTTGAATGGGCTATGTTAGGAATTGTGAACTGGATTTTGACTTGTGTCTCAATCCGCTCCTGAGTTTTTCAATATTTAGTGGATCAAGGCCCATTCTAATGCCTGAGTTTATGTTCACAATAAACTGTCTGACATCAGGAAGGTGATCGAGACACAGCCATTTTCAGTTTGCCGCACTTTGTTTATTTGGTCCCGCCCCCAGTGGCATAACTGTAGAGGATGTAAGTACTGTACTTTTGTGGGCCAATACTGTGTTGCCTATTTATTCGTTTAACTAATGACCCTTTTCATTGACTCAGGCCCATGAAGACAGTCGAGAGTCTCTGAGCCCTCTCCCACGCAGGGACACCATGGGAAGCTTTCTTCCAGATAACAACGCCTATGAGCTGGGCACTGTCATAGGTGAGGCCAAGACTGCACAGCACTAGTACAGACATCTCTGTGATCATCTGATTCCTACTGCTGATGTGTGTGTGTGTGTGTGTGTGTGTATGTTTTTCTGTAGGTCGCGGTTTGGAGGACTTGATGACAGTAAATCTGGCCAGGTACAAACCTACAGGGGAACTTGTGGCCATCCGGCGTATTGACCTGGATTCCTGTACTAATGACATGGTCAATTACTTACAGGTCAGTAGAAAGTGACAGCAGGGCTTCTCTCAGAATATACTAGAGATGGATTTTTAATGAATGTATTTTGTTGTATTCACAAACCTCACATCACTGATAAAAGTTCTTTAACTTGTGTCTTTCTTTTGAAAAAAAGGGCAATATACATTAATAATGATGACATTTAGATTTTTTAGTTTAGATACAGATTCAGTTTATCTTATATTTTATTTAATACTTTTAGTTAACAACACTGATTCAGTAAGAACATTTATTTCAATTTGTATTTCAAAAATCCTTTTGCAGTGTTTGAGTAACGTTAGTGTTTTTATTAGGCGCCTATGTGGTGTGGAACAAATACTTAAGTAGTCCATTAATCATGCACATCGCTAGTAATATACATATACAGTAAACATAAGCCTTGCTACCACTTTCTGTTTGTTTTTCCAAAGGGAGAACTCCATGTCTCTAAGCTGTTCCACCACCCCTGTATTCTCCCATACAAAAGCGTCTTCATTGCTGAGAATGAACTGTGGGTGATCACACCCTTCATGGCCTACGGTTAGCTGAGACATTCTGCATCAACTAAATCAAGTCTGAGCTGCTCATAGGACCAGTTGAAAATGTTTCTTTGTGCTTCTCTTCTCTATCAGGATCAGCACGAGACTTGATCAGTACACATTTTGCTGATGGTTTGAGTGAGCAGACAATTGCCTACATCCTGCTGGGTGTGCTGAGAGCGCTGGAGTACATACATCAGATGGGCTACGTTCACCGGTGAGGAACGCATGTACACTCATGATTAGTTATTATTGTTATTAGTCAAATAGGTTAATATATCAACCAACCACTCCAGACTGTTGGTCTCATGTTGCATGTAGTAATGTAAGTTTAATGTAATGTAGGTGCTACAAGAATACTTTTCAATCATCTTAATCTATGTCTGTAGGAGTGTGAAGGCAAGCCACGTTCTGATTGCAGCAGATGGGCAGGTGTATCTGTCCGGTCTTAGGAGTATCTTCAGCTTGATCCGTCATGGTCAGAGGGCGCGTGTTGTACACGATTTTCCCCAGTACAGTATTAAAGTACTACCTTGGCTCAGTCCAGAGGTTCTGCAGCAGGTACGTTTCATATACTGTACCAATCTAAAATTTAGGGTCAGTAATAATTAGGGGTGTAATGTATCGTGTCATAATATATCACAATACAAAAATGCAGCAATATGTATCGTGGATAGTGACAATCTGTATTGAAAATTACTGTTTGAGGAAAAAAGGTCATAGAGTTTTAGTGTCAGTACTACATTAAACTATATATAATGTATAATAATGCAATGGGGGAATATTTGTGGGTTCTTCTGATAATGCCAAATTTCTTCTGTTACCAGTAAAAAGTCCCCGACATGGTTTTAAATGTATGTAGTCAGTGACAGAGTGGACGCATATTCGTCTAAAATAATGAATGAATATTTCGTCTATATATCGTCTAAAATAATGAATCTTGAATATTTTTATTCTGGTGTCAACATTGTCCTGTGCATTTGGTCTCCAGCACCAAGTCCAAGCCTATTCATTTTCCACCCGCAAAGTAATATCAAATTTTCCATTTTAATCAACAATACATTTTTTCTTTCAACATATGTCTTGGAGTAGCGATCGCATTACATTCAGATTCAGATTATTAGTCCCCAAGGGGGCAATTTAGTTTTACAGCCAACCCATCCATTAAGGGTTAAAGTTAAAAAGTGCATTATTAGCACACAATGTATATTATATAATGGTAAAAAAAACACAAAAAAACAATGAACAATAAATAAGTATTGCAGCAATTATACATCCCCCTGTATACAGATGCTTCCCATAACATCCACACATTTACTCATGACCCAATCATTACACACACACTTTCACATTCACCTGCCAGTGACGGAACAGAGCAGTGGAGTGTGAAAATAACATCATATTGTGAGTTCAGTATCATTATATGTATCGAATCGTGACATGAGGGTTTATCGTTACACCCCTAGTAATAAGAAATAAATTATATATATAGTATGTATATTTACATTGTTAGAAAAGATTTCTATTTCTAATAAATGCTATCTTTTTAACTGTCTATTCAAAGAGTCTTGAAAAAATGTAGCAAGGTCTCCTTAACTGTTCTCAACTGTTTTAAACACCGATAATGACAAGAAATGTTTCTTGTGTACCAAATCAACACATTAGAATGCGCTAAAACACACAATTACTTCTTACTCTTTCAAAACATTAAAAAATCTTACTGGCCCTAAACTTTTGATCAGCATGTATACTGTACTTATAATACATCAGAAATGAGCAAATTACATTTTATTAATTCTGTATTAATCTGTGCATGTGACAGAATCTTCAGGGATATGACTTCCGCTCAGACATTTACAGTTTGGGCATTACTGCATGTGAGCTAGCTAATGGTCACGTGCCTTTCAAAGACATGCCTGCTACGCAGGTAAGGCAAACACTTGCTTTTTGTCGATTGATTTTTTTTGCTTTCCCTCCTTTTTAACTTTCATTTAGCGTCATAAACTGTCTCTTTGCCTGTTGTCAGATGTTGTTGGAGAAGTTGAATGGTACAGTCCCCTGCCTGTTGGACACTACCACCATCCCCCCTGAAGAACTGAGCATGAAACCGTCTCGCTCGGGGGCCGACTCTGGGATCTGCGAGGGCCCCAGTGCCACCGGTGCTCGACACACAAACGGAGAGCCCTCATCCTCCTCCGCAGGAAACCCATACAGCCGGACCTTCAGTCCTCACTTTCATGCCTTTGTGGAACTTTGTCTGCAGAGAGATCCTGAGAAAAGGTCTATATAACACTCTAGTGCTTCATTTATTTTTAAAGGACTAATTAAAAATTCTTTCATTATTTACTCACGATCATATCGTTCTAAACCTTTTACTGTGGAACAGAAAAAGAGACATTTTCAGGAATGGACTTGACACTCTTTTCCTTGTAATAAAAGTGAATCCAGGATGTTGAGCTCCAAATTGATAAACTGTAAAAAGTTTATTACTTTACATTAGATCTCATTTCTTAGCAACTATGAGAAATATATATTTCATATATTCATATGAAATGAGTCATATGAAACCCAGCTACTATTTTTTCTGCTGTGCATAAAAGAAGATATTTTGAAGAATATGTGTAACCAAACTTTTGATTTTAAAAATGTATTAGTAAAAATGAACTTAAACCAAGATTAATAGATATTGTAGAAGTATTGTTCATTGTTTATTTAACTTATGTTAACAAATGAAACCTTTTTGTAAAGTGTTACCAAGTAGGTAATACTTTTGTGGTGCATATAGATTGAAATTGATGTCATGTCTTCAACAGACCTTCTGCCAGCTCTCTGACAGGCCATTCCTTCTTCAAACAAGTAAGTTTTACCCTCTTCTGAGCAAAAACCTGACATATTTGCAGAAAGTTGCTGCACACTTACTCTCCTCAATGTAACATTTCAGATAAAGCGCAGACCATCCGAGGCTCTTCCTGAGCTCCTGCGTCCAGTTTCTCCAATCAGCTGCCTAGACTGCATGCAGCCTCAGGATTCGCCCACTGGACTAGCCAGTCTGGAGTCTGATCTCAGCAAGCTGGATGTGGATGACTGGGATTTTTGACATTAAAACCGGACGAGAGATGGATGGACGATGGATTGGATGGAAAGAGGTGATTTACCATAAGACTCTTACTGAGAAATTAAGAAATGTGGATTTTGTTTTGTGTCTTTTTTTTTTTTCTTTTCAGTTTTAAGTGAGAAAAAGAAAGGCCTGTGGTATGCGAGCATGATGAAATGAAATTACAAAGGGCTTTAAAGAAGCTACAAGAGACTCTGGAATGTTTCTTGGTTGTCTTTGTGATTTGTGTATGTCCCTGAAACTAAAATAAGAGACTATAAGAAGAGAAATGAAAAGCCAGCAGCCATTTAGCCTTGCTAATGCATCCAGAAGCATGAACTGAAGCCTGAGGCATGCACTGCGCACATTCGCCTACATTTTAGTTACTCTTACAGACTGGCCATGTGACAATGGGGATCACTTCAGGCTACTGAAATGTGTTCTATGCGTTTCAGCTGAACCAATGACACTCTATGAATGTCTACCAGCTTACAGCAACACCAGTTCACTATTGTATTACCATGTATCCAAGCATATTTGTCCAGTGAAGCATAAAGAGCTGTCAGTAAAGTCAAACTCGACAGTCCAATTTATGGATGGATTGTGGGAATGGTGCGCAATAGTTACACAACAGAAGAAGAAAAAAAGCTAGATTCATTTTTTTTTGCCTGCTATCTGGTGCAGTTGTTAGTTTAAAATTAATAATTCTGTTGTATTTTTGATAAGATTAATTTTTTTTCTTGGCATGCGTTACAGAAGGAAGTACTTCAATGGACCGTCTGTGTATTTTTTCAGCATATTTACATTTTGGTCAAATGGAATAAATGTTGCCATTGATGATGTTTGCTGTTATAGAATTTTTTTTTTTTAAATATTTAGAATGTTCATTACAGTACAACTTGTTTTGAAAAACAGCATCTGCAATCATGATTTCATTACATACTATGCAGTTTATAAGAGGGAGTGTCATAGAAGTTCTTAATACGAATACAAGCCACTAAATCTGACTTCTTCACCATGGACAATTTAAACAACTTCCAGTTGTTAATAATAATAACTACAGTATCTCAAGGTAATTCCCTGAATACTTACAATAAAAATACAATACTTCCCTGAAGTATGGTGACGGCATCCCGTCAAGAAGCTACTATCACTACCTCAATCACACATGAACACACAGGTCTTTAACATCTATACACTCTCACGTCCTTCTCAGGTGTGCGCTGGTCCAACACAGGATCATTAATACTAACTCGGAGTAATACAGCCTCTCCCCGAGGGCAGCTTTTTAGTCTTCCAACATTATCACAGCTGGAAAACAATTGTTCTGAAAGTAATTACAATGATATTGCTCCTTTGCGTCATTACCATTATAGCTGTGGTGTGGACTTCATTAATCTCATTTCAGTTCTTATTCTTGACTTGGTGTAAAAAATTGGCCAATAATGTGTGTCTCTAGTGAACGACGTACAGATTGTCGAGTTCTCATCCTGGGAGATTTCTGAGAATCATGAAAAAAAAGTGTTCTACAAAAGAGTGCTCGTTTATTTCAAAGGTTCTGAAAATTTACAACACAGCTGGAATCTGAATGATTAAAGTAGAAAACAGAAAGGGGGGGATGTGTGGTGCTAGTCATCCTCATCAGAGGGAGGCTGGTCAGCAGCTGCCTGCTGTTTCTGCATCTTAGCCATGAGCTCTGAGGAAAAATACACCAAACAATGAGTTCCTTACTCTCCATTTCATATTACATATGACATTAGTGAGTGAATTAATCAGGGCTTGAGTTAATGACCAATTGACCAAACCTTGTCTAGTCATTTGTGATTAATGGAAAAGATAAGCACCTTTGGCTGGGTTGAAGACGCCATTGGTCTGCTGGTTACAAACATAACAGCGCTTAGATTTACGGTAGTGCTGGAGAGCACAGGCCTCGCAGAAGTAGTGCCGGCACCTGGAAAACAAAGAAATTGTAACTACAACATGCAACCACAATGTCAAACAAAAATATGGATATGATGTTCTCAGGCTAAAGCATCATATTGTGTATTTTTTTGCCATGATAAGAACTGCATTTGCAATTCAAACTGGCCATGGCTTGACGTAGCACTTACTTTGTAATAATGGGGTTCTTAAAGGACTCTCTGCAAATGAAACACTTGAAAGGAAGATCTTCCTCGTCGCTGCTCACTTCATAGTTCTCATCGTCTGCGAGATAAACAATACGTCAGATAGCAGAACAAAAGAAGCGAAATGTTTTCTAAGACCTGTACCTAAAGGTGGCTCACCGTTTGCCCCATATCTTCCTTCTTCGAGCTCTCGCTCAATCTGCCAGCCGTGCTTGTAGTCTGAGCGGTCATGCAGAAACTTACAGCTGTCTGAGGATAAAATAAGACATGTTTGTTCCTGCAATGACATTTGTCATGAGTGTTAACATGAACCTCAATAGAAAGGCAAAAACAGACGAAACCGGTGGCTTACTAACCTCCAAACCCACAGAAGCCCGTCTCTTTATAGTCTTTACAAATGTCAGGCTGGTAATCCCACCGGACTGTAGCCCTGAGGTGCTCAGGGGCTCTGATTGGCCCTTTCCTATCACATACAAGACATTATGGATCAGTTAAAAGTTGTGTGTCGGCATATTTAGTCACAGCAAACAAGACCAGCTGCTTGTTTGACCAGCACTTACTGACTGACTACTGACTTACCTGACCATACCAGAGGAGGCGTTGCCCATGGTGGAATCTTTGGGCTTGATGTATTTATGGTAGTTGTTGATGCCACGATAAATCTTATCATCATCTTTACCAGTCAACTCCTATAAATAAAATACAGACATGCCACTGAATTAGCAGACTGTGCCAACCCAAACAATATCATTTTTTTATTTCTTATATATTTATTCAATTATTTATTTAGACAATTACTGTTCAGTAAAATGTATCAATTCTGCTGTGTTACATTTTTTTGAATGAGGTCACAAAAACTGAACTGATTTGATTCTTCTGTAGAGCTGAAATAGGTGTAATAATAATAATAACTGAGAGTAATAAATTCTCATATGACAATGCAGTGCAGATGCTGTTTTCTATCTACTGCTGTAAACCTGCTTTGAAGAAATGTGTAATGTAAAAATAGCTGTACAAATAATCTGTTATTAGATATCAAACCATACCTCTTTGTTTTTGTATGAATATATATATATATATATATATATATATATATATATATATTCATATTATATATTAATCTAATCCCCCGTACCTCTTGAATCTTCTGGCTGCGCTCAAAGATTGCCTGAGCATCTTTGTCCCTCTCTGTGTCCAACTCATAGACAGCAGTGGCCCCCATGTCATCTGGTCCCTCTGGTTTCTGCAACACAAACACACACACTGAATTACAAGAATCAAATGTTTGGAATGGAATCAAATAAATAAACTGCATTCTTAATGGTTTGCTATAAATCATAAGAAAGCCCCAGATGTAAATATCTGACAGACTCACCGCTGACCGGGTGGACTTGTACGCGACAGTGACACTCTTGACTTCTTTATCCTCTTCACTTTCACTTGATGAGACTGCTTCCCTCTCCACTTTCTTTGTCTATAAGGTGGGATGAGCAGTATTTAACTCGCGGTTATGGCTTCAGAGTAAACAGCAACTTCGTAAAAGACTAAAATAATGCAGATTTCATTAAACATTTTAAACACCGACATACTTTCTGAATCATGGGGTTAGTGATAGCAGCTTTCTTCTTTCTGACCACAGCACTGCCCTCCTCGCCGCTACTTCTGTCTGATGAACACACAAACTGATTTAATACATCAGTTACTTGGTTGTAATCAGAATTACGTTGGGCATAAACATTGACCGAACAGACAGTTTAAACTATAGGCTATTATGAAAAACTGATTAATCAATACATGCATTACCGAGCACGGAGGGGGAAATCAGCACAAAATACCTTTATCGCTATCGCTTGCATTTCTTTTCCGTGCAGAAAATTTCTTATTTGATTTCTTAAAAAGAAACTTGCATATTGTTTTAGACTCTTCTGACTCCGCCATCTTTAACTCTATGCTTTAACTACATTAACCACAGCATAATATGAAGAACTTCAGTTATAGTGCCTCTTGTGTTTGGGAATGGGATCAACAGTGAATCAGAGATGGTCTTACTGCTGCTGTTAAATAACATTTCATACATAAAAATAGTCACATTTTAATTAATAAAGTTCATATTTTATTGTTATCGAGAATGTATAAAACAAAATGTATGGCAACTCGCTTTTCTGACACAAACAATAACATTTAATACTGAACTGTACTATTCTTTACACCAGAGGTTTCAGACACGCTTAATGCCAATTGGACCTACATATGTGTAAAATCTAAAAATATGATATTATTGTGATACAGTATATTGATGTGATATGTATATTATGCCCTCTTTGCATACATTAGATTATTATTTCTTTTGGTTTCCTTTTGTTTGAGATATAAAAAAAAATATCACTTGAATCATGAAATACAAAACATGCCACTATACAAAACAAATTATTCAACAAATCCATATTGCAGCTAAACATTACTGATAGATAGATAGATAGATAGATAGATAGATAGATAGATAGATAGATAGATAGATAGATAGATAGATAGATAGATAGATAGATAGAACATTACATAATACAACTTCATAAGATTGCACAACTTACTGGGTTTTTATACATATATTTTAAAGGTTTAAAGAAGATCAGACAATATTTTATTTAAAAGCAAGACATTGGAATCTACGAAAGAGTATAGAAGCCAAAATATAAGTGCTTTGAATCCATTTATTTTGCAACACTTAACCACGCCCCTGTCGTAAAGTACCAGTAGACCGGGCTAAAGCGTCGTAAAATACCACAGTGGTTTACGGCCTCGCGCCATTTTAAGAAAGGAACAGCTCGTTCAGCTTGGTGAGAGAACACGTTGGGTATTGTCGTGTGGACCGAAATACAGAAAAACGTTCAAGGGATTTAAGAAATTCATGCACGAAAATTCCTCAGAGAAACGCGCCGAGGTTATTGGTGAAAAATCGGAGGTTTCGTCGGAACCGAATGAGAATTTGAGGTAACTCGCTATTGGAGGCCGCCCTTGGAAATGTTGGCGATCTTACATCTTTCGACTTAAATTAGTAACGCTAGAGCTGCTGACCCTAACTAGGATTGATCTTTGCTTTACACGCGTGCAACAAAACGTGCACTTGGATTACTTTATGTGATTCTTTACGGTTTGTTTATTAGTATATTACATATCTAATAATGAAGAAGCTAATTAAACCAGTCATTTATGTAAAGCAAATGTAGGGGTGTTTGTTTGCCCGAAGCTAGCCGAGCTAGCTGTTGCTGCTAAAGTTTAAAACCTCGTTTAGGGGTGTGTTTCCTTATTGATATAAATATTAAAATATACTTGGACGCCACATTTTCAGTTAAAACCAACGTCTAATTTGTCCGTGCAGTGTTGTCGATCGATCCTGCAAGTTAGTAGCGTTAACTGAAATCTCCTCTAACTTTTCAATCATTTACGTTACCCACCGCAACTTTTTAAAGTATGCTGGGTTTCTGTTAAGGGTTGTTTGGATTTTAATTGAATCCTTTTTAATTTCTCTTTTCTAGGTGAACAATGACTCAGTTTCTTCCGCCGAACCTGCTGGCATTGTTTGCCCCGCGGGACCCGATACCTTTCCTGACTCAGCTCGAGAAACTTCCCCACGAGAAACACCACAACCAGCCCTACTGCGGAATTGCCCCTTTTATCCGGCATTTTGAGGTGCTTTTTTGCAATTTGCTATATTTAAACAATTTTAATAGATTTTTGACTGCCAGTAAAGATTATAGATCAAGTGTTCTCATCAGACGGTTGTTCTATGCATGAAGGAAATTACTGTATGTAATGTTATTTGTTACCTCCTGTTTGTTAGGACCCCAGAGATGCTCCACCACCAACAAGAGCAGAGACGCGGGATGAGCGGTTGGAGAGGAAGGTGAGGAAGTCTTAAGTTTTAGTTTCTGTGGTAATTTCATTGACTTTGTTCACTCATCCTGAATGGCTTTTAAATTCACAGACCCTCATTCAGAAGGGTTTCAATTGGGTTATGAGTTGAGGATGGCAAAAATGTTATCTTTGAAAAGCTTCAGTGGGAGATCTTTTTAGTACTCTTAATTATGAACAATATTTGTTAGAGAATGACAACATGAGAATTTACATGTATATATATATATGCATGCATGCATGCAATTGTGTTCGTGTTAATATTTTATTAATGTAATATGGTCCATTATTTCAATTCCAGAGGAGAGAGAAGATGGAAAGGAGGCAAGTTGTGGTGGAAACAGAACTGAAGCTATGTAAGTATCTGAACTGAAGTGAAATGCTGCAGCATATTGTTATAAAAGCTTATCAATTATTTCTTGTATCTCCACAGGGGACCCACATAATGATACTAATGCTCAAGGAGATGCTTTTAAGACCTTGTTTGTTGCTCGAATTGTGAGTTTTTTTTGTTTTTTTTAATATGAGCTTGTACACAAGAATAAAAATGAATTTATTATGTTAAAACAATGTTAATCTTATCCGTTTTATTTATACAGAATTATGACACCACAGAGTCCAAACTACGGCGTGAGTTTGAAGTCTATGGTCCTATCAAACGGGTAAGTTGTGTTGAATATGTACATTTCTCCACTTTCCTTTTATTTTTATCCCACTGACTCATCTTTTAATGTTTATGCCTTTTTTTTTAGATCTACATTGTGTATAACAAGAAAACTGGAAAACCAAGAGGCTATGCGTTCATTGAATATGAACACGAGAGAGATATGCACTGTGAGTAACCAAGATATTTCATTCTTCTTTAAACTCCTTAAATTATTTGGAAATACTGCAATGTAAAAAGGCATTTATTGTCTTCTCATGAACTATTTTTATTTGAAGCAACAAATGATATTGGTTATGGTCCACCTATTTAGATTTCTTTTTCTTTTCTGCCGGCGTCACCACAAATTTAGAATTAGCCTTTCAATCAAAAATGTTTGCAGAACATTTGAGAATGTGTAACTCATGTTATAAAACTCCATTTTGTGTGTGCGTGTGCTTGTATGATGGCTTGTGTCAACCCTATCATACCTGTGTTTGTAGTATATTCCTGTTTTTTTACCCCGTGCGTGTGTTGCATCTGTGTGAGTGTGACGGTGCAGCACATGTGGGTGAAGAGCGGAGTGTGGCTGTGCGTTAGCCCAACACACATTCTGATGAATGTTGCCACTCTATGGCATCTCTGTAATGTTTAGGCTGTGTGACATAGCAGTGTGTTTCCGGACGGAGCGGTGATGGTAAGCTAAAGGCTAAGACTGTCTGTAGTGAAAAAGGTGACCCATATACTTACACACCTGTTCATGTCTGGTGCACAAACAGCCGTTAATATCAAGGCTTTTTATACCTCAGTACACACAGGGGCCTTTTATGATTGAAGTGTTGCGGAGCGAGTCAATGCTTTCTATTAATTGTGTGTTGTTCTCATTGCTACTGCAGCCGCCTATCTCTGATGGCTATTGGCCAGAGCTGGCTTGCAGATCATGATGATGGTTTTGATACATCTACACCCTACTACCACAGCTCAGTATATGGTTGGTATGATGGGTTTGTATGATGGGTAAGATTTCTTTACACCCCTCATCTAATTTTAGTTGATAGGTGTACCAAATCACTTCTCATCTGCCCCATTTTAGGGCTAAACATAGGGCTGCCAGTTGTTATTGACTGTGGCTTGGGCCAGTTATAGTGAGTGCGAGCCTGTCATTAATCTCTTCTATTAAAGCCATTGTACTACTAATGTGGTTGTACCCTGCAAGATTTAGTCTGTGCAGTATTGGTTACACTTGAAACCGAACTTTGTTGTAAAGAGAACCTGTCTGTTATATTACGACACACAATTGCCGTGTTAAAGTGGATGGTGATCTTGTTGTTGGATATTAAAATATAGATGCATCTTTTTTTTCACACATAGTTAAATGCATCTCCTAAATCTCTCCACAAGGTTGGATAATCCATGCCATAAAAGTGCAGTTACGTTTACAGTTTAAGTGAAGTTTTGCAGAGGAAATCCAGTCTTTTCAATAGTAATCCAGTGATGTAGAATTTTGCATTTCAGGTGGTTAGAAGATTTACCCATGCAGATTTCGCGTAGGGTTCAAGTTGGTCACGTAGATTTGGCATGTTGGAAAAACAGAAAGCTGCTTGGTTTGATCGTGACTTAGCTACACTATTAACAATTTGACAGTGGATATTTTTACCTGCAAAACTTAGTGCTAATGTGATTGCACGTTAACACTGTTGCTATGCAACAACTAGAAGAAAATGATCTGCTCTTGTTTTGTGTAGTGACGATGTGAACAAGTTTACGTTATTTCCATAACTTGCTATATTGCCAAGTGTTACTATATCAAATAAGCCGGGAGCTTAACTGGTTTTTAATGTAAAAAATGGCACAAAGACTTATTTGGTAATGCAATCTTATTTAAATAAAAATTCAAAGTGTGTAGGCACTATTTTTGCTGAAATGGTGGTGTTGGCTTTAATAGAATAGGTTAACTAAGGACTTTGGATATTTAAATCACTGCACGGAACCCAATTACATCTAAAGATTCTTATTGCCATGGACTCACCTTGTAGAGCATCAATGGTTAAATTCATTTCCAGAGTTTCTGTGAGACACTTGATCCATAGGCCTCAGAAATGTCTATTTAGGTTAAGTGAGGAGGTGCAACCTTTCCTGTGACTTTCCTTTTGTCCAAACTGAATATTTACCACTATTTACAAGCTCTTAATGGGCTGAAAAAATGACATGGATACAACCAAGTAAGAATAAAATAATACTTTACTTAAGACATGTTTATACAATTAAGTTGCCTAATGTGCACTTTTCTGAACTCTAGTTATTTTTTTTCCAATTCCATTTCCTTTAAATTTTGACTTGCAAGGCCCTGTAGAATTGTAAAGAATTTAAACTAAATGGAAAAACTGGTCTGAGAGATTTTATGGATATAAGGGTGGTTGGTAAGCCCCTCTTGTTGGTTAGGTAGGTGAGGGTTGTGGTAAGGCCCTCTGTTAACTATTAAATGAGGGTGGATGGTAAGGCCCTCTTGTTGGGTAGGTGCGCTGAGGGTGTTTGGTAAGCCCCTCTAGTTTGGTATGGTAGTCTGACTCTGAGGGTTGTTGGTAAGGCCCTCTGGATGAGATGTCAGGACAGATGTGTGCGAAATAACTTGAGGGTTTGATGGTAAGACCCCCATGATGGGTTTCAACCGAACACCGTCGACAGTGCAGACCAGAATAGCTTCGTGGATTTCATCGTATCCCTTGTTAATGGATTGGATCCCTAATTCCTTGGTTCAAGGTTGTCCAGTTTTGATTTTAAAAAAAAATTATATCAAATGTACTGAAAGACGTTTTGATTCGAGACTGCTGGAGTCGCCAGGCTACGTTTCCGTGGGGTGTTCCATCAAGGACTTCATCCTTGGCCAGGTATTATGGTAAGATAGCATCTCCAGGTAATGTGGTAAGACTGGGATATGACTAAATACTTAAGGGCTTAGACTTATTTTAGACTAGCAGAAGGAAAAGACCTAAGGGTATTGGCCATATTGAAGTGTGTGGGAATTGTGTAACTTTCTTAAAAGCTGTACTTCTAGCATACCCATTATTTATAATGTATAGAAGCTAGAAGTAAAGCTCTGCCATTTTTTTTTCGCCTCCCCTTTGGTCTACCGTGATGTGTGCGCAAATGGTGCTAATGTTCATAGAAATTCTGTATGAGTGTGAATGAATGTTTGAGAGATTTTGGAGAATGGATAGTGGCTTTTAGTGTAACTGTATTCACTAAGTGCCTTTTTTTTCTTGTGGCTTTCAATCAAGATTTAATGAGAATAAAATTGTGTTAATGGGCAGTTTAATGTGGATCACACTTAATTTGGAGATAATTAGTTGCCCAAGCTGTTGAGTTCAATGCTTTAGTTTTTGCGATCCACATTGCACTGTTAGAACTGCCTTACTTTTTAATGTTTACCATAGCACTTAAATGTCCTTTCATATTTCTTTCTGAATACCAGAGAGATGGCATTTTGCCTGAATATTACATAGTTTTTAGGAAGCACACGATTTATTGTCTTTAAACGCTAAAGACAGGGATACACTGCAAGAGTTCAGACACTCAGGGGGTTGTGCGCCATTGCACGTTACGAGTTAACCTGATAATTATGTCAAAGTAATTGGTACACTGCACGACTGCACTGTGAGCTGGCGGCAATCATATGATCTTTCATGCTTGACACAGAGATTCTGGAGCATGTTGCTGATATACCTTCAGATAGAAAAAAACACCAAAAATAAAGACGAATGTGCAAATGATTTGGTGAAAAGCAAAGGACAGCATGGCCATTCCTTTGACAAACAAAAATACATTCCAGTTTATGTTGAATGCATTTCCTCTAGGGTTGCTTCAACTGGGCTATAATATTGATAGATCTAGCCTATGTGATACAATTGTGTATGATTTGGCAATAGGGGACAGCCTATACATAAGGAAAAATTGGGCTGACTCACCCAATTGTTGAGTGTTTAAAACATTTTCAGGGTTTCAGGAGGTGCTCGTAGTGTTCTCTGCTCGTAATTCCTCACTCAATGTGAGCCGCGTCAATACGAGCATCAGCAATTTCCAAGTGACTTCTCCTGAGTCCTGAGATGATAAATCGCCTGTGAGATCGCACAGCATCAAAAATTGTACCTTGTGCGTCCAGCTTAAGTGTTATCTGGAGTTTTTATCTTCAATACTGAGAATTTAGATGCCACTGTAATGTTCCGTGATGCGTTACACTTAAATTTAAGGTATTTGGGATAATATTCTGCAACTTGCAATATTCAGTTTAGTTTGTGTTAATTTTTGAAATTAGCATATGGATCATGAATTCCTTTCATACAGGGTATTTCTTATAAAAGCATTATTGTGCTTTGGAATTATTTTAAGAAATGTAGTCTGGAAAATCTGCTGAAATCTATAATCCAAATCAAGAACTTCAAAAATTACTAAATGTGTTTTTTTTTTTTTTTATTATAAATAAAGGCAATATTTTTTGTGATTTGTTAATGCGTGACTCAATCCATGCGCGTTATCATTAACTAAGGTAGAAGAAAGCTTTTTTTTTTTTTTTTTTTAGCTCATAGCAGCATTGTCAGTTTATCTCATTCCTGGTGTCTTATCCATTCGGAGGTAAGCGTGTGTCTTCAAATAGCTTAATGTTTTTAACGGAGTTCATCCCAAATTCAAGGTATGTAGTAGGAAATACTGTTGTGTGTGTTCTTGATTTCTCATTGTCCATCTCTTTCTTTCTTTGTACTCCTTATTCTCTTCATTCCTCAATCTCCCCTTTTCTATTGCTCGTCTGTCAACTCTACTAGCTGCCTACAAGCATGCGGATGGCAAAAAGATTGATGGACGTAGAGTACTTGTTGATGTTGAAAGAGGAAGAACGGTCAAAGGATGGCACCCCAGACGACTTGGTAAGCACTTCAATGTTTTTTTTTTCCAGGCCAGAGGTGTCCAATGCTTTTTCTGGAGGACCAATGTCCTGTAGCCTGCCTCAACATACTTGTCTGAATCTTTCTAGTTATCCAAAAGACCTTGATTAGCTTGTTCAGGAGTGTTTGTTTTAGGGTTGATAAAACTCTGCATGACAATCAATCTTGAGTTCCAGAGTTGCCCACCCCTGGTAAAGATGGTATGGTTGGGATAGCAAGTGTGTTTATACTTCACACCAATATATATGCATTTTATTATCCAGGTGGAGGTCTTGGGGGTACAAGGCGAGGGGGAGCAGATGTCAACATCAAGCACTCTGGCAGAGATGACACCTCCCGTTATGATGACCGACCAATTGGAAGGCAAGTTGTCTGGAGCATAATTTTGATTTTAGATGGGTACCTTTCAGCCCTTAACCCTATTGTCTATTATCCTGCAGTGACCGTGATCGGGATCGTGGCGAACGCAGGGAACGCAGTCGTGACCGAGACAAGGAGCGTGGAGAGCGCGGAGAGCGTCGCCGCTCTCGATCCCGAGAGAGACGCAGACACACCAGATCTCGGGAGCGTGAGAGGGCTCTTGTGGTTCCGGGGGAGGAGACTGGGGGCAGCAGCCGACGCCGAGAAAGAGAAAGAGACAGAGGTGCCGTTGGAGGCAGCCGAGAGAGGAGTAGAGACCGGGATAGAGAAAGAGACCGCAAAAGGAGAAGCAGGAGCAGGGATAGAAAGAGAGATAGGGAAAGAGGCAAGGGTGCAGAAGGAGGAGAGGAAGGCATGGGTGGGCTAGCTGACGGAATGATTCCAGAAGGGGGAGAACGGGGAATGGAGGACCCCTTGGGTGGTGAACCAGGGCGAGGTGAGGAGGGAGGGCCTGAAGGAGAAGAGAGAGGGAGGGATCGAGACAAAGACCGGGAAAGAGACCGTGATAGGAAGCGTAGCCATAGAGATAAAGATAGAGACAGGGATCGGGAGAGAAGGCGAGATAGGGATAGAGATCGTGAACACAAACGGGACCGAGGTGATCGGGACCGTGGGGACCGGCGGGAAGATAGACATGTATCCTCCTCAGGAGATCAAGAGGGTTTGGGTAATGGAGGTGATGGGGGTGAAGAGCAAGCGCCACCACAATCAGAAGAAGGTTCACAGGATGGGATGAGGATGATGATGATGGATCAGGATTCCATCCAGTCAGGAGAGGGCTATGCCTCCAATGAGAATGGGTACAGGATGGAGGCCCAGGGTGATGGGTACTGAGAGTGCCACTGTTGTGTGAATGATCCAAGGTTATCCAGTTGCAATGTTGATTTGATTCCCAAATATCCTCAACCGTTATTTAATGCCTACACACCCTCCTATGCTTGCACTATGTCCAGTGTGTGAGTATTACACTGTACCACCAACAGCTATCGCTGAGAGAGCTTAGTGTCTCCCTGGTAAGAAGCGTACTTTTGTTTAATAAAAAGATTATGTAGCTGAACTGATTTTTTTTTAGCCTGTTTAAATTATATCTGGGGATTTGTTTGCATAAAACTTCACCTAATAACTAGCCTTATGATGCATTTGAAATCCCTGTTATAACCAACTAAGTATCAATTGACCGTGTTGCTGGGATAAAGTCTCTTGACTGAAGTACTGTATCTTTTACGGTGTAGTATCAGTAAGGGATGGGTAATTGATGGTTTAAAATGTGTCTGTACATTGTTTCTTTTACATTAGTCCTCACCTCCCCCCAGTTTCTCTTTAGTGGTCTCTTTTTTTTGTCTTGTACATTTTTATTATATATTTGGTCTAATATTGATCGTTTGCAAATCGTACAGTGGCCCCTAATTTTACTGTAGGAACAATTACAGGAAAAAAGTACACAATTGTGTTTTTTAAAGAATGTTTGCTATGGGTTCACAAAAAGCGCTCTTATTTTTTTTCTTTTTTGCTTATCTCTGGTTGTATTGGTTCTGCCTTTCATCCTTGAATAAATCATTTTTTATTGACACATCGAGTTCTTGATTCCTTGTCTTACAAACGGTATTGAACTTGCGCCTCTTGCTCTGACGTGTTGTATTGCGTCATTCAGTAAGCGGCTGCCTAGGACGAATCGAGTGCACACTCTTCGCGCTTCTCTATCCTCATTAGCTGAAGGCAGCATCTATATGCTTTCACTGGAGCTGCAGTAAATACGTTTGATTCTTACAATTGAAAATCCGTTCATTTTGATCCAAATCGATATCTTCTAGTTGATTACAATTCTACTTGTGAACGCTTCAGTCCTCCACTGCAGCAGACGATCTTCATGATGTCATCGTATTATCATACGGGGAAAGATGTGGACATGGCGGCGATGACAGAACCACTCTGCTTGGAAAGAGGTAGTTTAATTGGTCCTATGTATGTATTATATCAGACCAACGTTTAACGTTAGCATTTGGAAAATGGCAGATAGATTAGCCAATGAACTGGCAGGGTCTTGTGTCTGTTAAGCAGGCAGTATTAGTGACGAGCGGAGCATTTCGTTCAAATAATGTGAATGAATCAGTGTAGTAGTTTGTTTTTTGCTTAATTCATTCAATAAAACCGATACATTTACAGGTAAATGATACATCTGGGAACGTGGAAGCACATAGAGAGTAATTCCCTGATCTAACTTAATTGCATCCGTCATCCGTGTCCATGTTTGCGTTGTATACGGGTGAATGTTCTCTTTTCTGTGCTACGTCTTCCACCGTTGAGAATGCAGTCGTACGCTATAGACCGCGGGCGTCTTTAATCATTTTATTATAAACTGCCCTTAACCCCTTCATCACCTGCGACCACTGGAATGGACATCACATGGTTTTTGGTTCAAACCAATACATTTTTTTTAGTACTGCCTGGTCACTGATTGGTCCCTGATCAACCAATCAAGGAAAGAATGACCCATAACTTAGGGTTAGTTCACAAAAAAAAAAAAAGTCTGTCATAATTAGCTACTCACCCTCATGTCCTTCTAAACCTATGAGACCTTCATTCTTTCAAACAAATATTTATACGAATAAACGCCTAAATTCCATACGTTGTTCATATAAAGTGATCAAGTCTCTTCAGAAAATTTGGACTAAACTGTTCATATGGTTTCTTTTCATGATTACTTAGGACCTTTTTGAAGTGGTAGTTGTGTAGCTGTCTATGAAGGGAAAGAATTGATTTCTGATTTCATCAACAATATCTTCATTTGTGCTGTGAGGGTGAAAGTCTTATGGGTGTGGAATTACTTGAGGGTGAGTAAGTAATGATGTAATTTTCATTTTTGGGTGAACTAACCCTTTAATATGATTGAAATTCAGGCATCACATAAGACCTGCTTGGCATGAGGTGGAGGAGCATCACTGGCTTGCACTTGTTATAATCTTAATAGTATCAAGTGATAATATTCAGTATAAATAGTTAATTTGAAGATTCTTCCGAGCTGTAGAACACAGGATTGTTTTAATATCTATCGGAATGGGTATTGGGGGTTAATAAAATGAATTTATTTCATTCATATGAATTTATGATGTCAATGTTGTAAACATAAACTGTCGTTCAGTTTTTCATTATTTTTAGTGAAAAACAGCTATAGCAAATGTGAAATGAGTGAATACACAGCAACACATGCACTCCACATACACTGATGCCTTGATACTATATTACACGATCATATATTTATCAAAACCAGCAAGTACACACAAATACACCAAGAAAGGCCCATTTTTTGCTCGGTGAAAAACAGTCAGGTCTGAAGAGTTTAAAGCATCATTACTTAAACATATGGACGGTGCTTTAGAAAAAAAAAATCAGCAGATTAGTAGTTTTTATAATAACCAAAACTTTCCATGACAAAGCTTTCAATCCCAGGTTATCTTTGTTGGTTTGTTTTTTTTTATGTATATTTCTGTAATGGTTTATTTCTCTCCAGATGTGTGCAGGGTGATAGAACTGTTGGACAGGCTTCAAAGAAGCGGTGAGCTTCCTCCTCCCAAACTTCAGGCTCTACAGAGAGTTCTACAGAGCAAGTTCTGTGCTGCCATCAGAGAGGTAAAGGCTACTTCAGTCCTTCAAACACGAGGACGCTTGACTCTCTGAATTTGCTTCTATTAATAACTGTTTCTTGGATTCTTTTGCTTTCAGTTGGAACAAATTGCCTTCATTAAAAACAGTGAGAAATGTTTACTAAATTTGTACCTTTTATTTTGTGCTGATTTCACAGAACACTTACGGAACATAAGTAGTTAGGTTAAAACGAAGGTTTGAAATGTAGAAATTATCACCACATAACACAGGATTTTGTCCTTTTCCACCCCCACACATACATGGTTGTTTCTCGTAGAAAGTATTGTGCTGCACTGTTCCTCCTCCTGAATGACTCACTTTCCTGTCTGTTTGAGACTACATCTCACTTCAGCCTCCATGTCTCACTCCTTGACCTGCGGTAATCGGTTCTTATGCCAGAAGTCCTGTCTGTTCACTTCACAACAATAAAACAGATACCCTTTCTGATGTCCTGCTCTTTGCGTAGCTGAGAGAGAAATGTCTTATAGACCATTTCACAAGATGTAAACAACACTGGCCCAGAAGCACTTCCTGTTTCAGTTTGTAACTGTTTTCTTTATTTCACATGTAAAGAAAACATCTTAAAGATGTTTGTTTAACTTTTTGATTCAGTTTTAAATGTTCTGTTGGTTGTATTTTATCCCAGCTTTTATGTAGTGTTAAAAAACTGAAACAGGAAGTGCTTCTGGACCAGTGTTGTTTACATCTTGTGAAATGGTCTATAGGAAGACAAGGTTTTGATCTGTATGTCTGCATTGGTTTGAAAATTAGCCTTCTACTTCCCAAATTTTACATTGGAATTAACTGATAAAACTTACATGGCTCTTGATTTTGATTGTTCAAAAATGGCACTATATCAAATTTTCTTCTAAGAACACTAAATTGTGTACCAGTAATTGACCATTGTACGGCACCATAAAGAGTAACTAAACCCTAAACCAACTTTTTTTAGTCAATGATCTGTAAGCATGGATCTTTATTAATACCAGTCATTGATTTGAGTACATTGTTTGACATTTGTGTATACAGTGTGTTATTTCTACAATGTATGGTGTAAAAACTTCTTAGTGCTGCCCTCTTTAGGTTGAACGGTGGCTACTGCAGTTGAATTTTCCTATTGGATGTTCCGCACTTCGTGACGTACGCAGGTTTCAGCTCACCACGCTCTTGGTACGAGCTACGCCCTTTGGCAGTATAAAAACCAGCTTGTTTCGTCAAAACCAGTCAGGAGTTGGAATTGCGAGTATTGAAAACGATCAGGATAGAGTGTTTTAGCATCTTTTTCGTCCCCTCTATCTCCGCTGGGGTCTGCCCAATTTTTCAGCATTTTTCAAATATTGCCAGTGGGTGCAGTCAGGCTCTGACCAGGGGTTTAGTTACCCTTTAACATTCATATAACCTTTCCATTCCACAAAATTGGTTCCTTTAACTGAACCTTTGGCTGAAAGGTTGTTTGGGCAGCCAAAAATGGCTATTTCATGGCAGCGCAGTGTAGCTGTCGTGTCTCTCATATCACCGTGATATATATTTCCTTTTATATAATTAAAGCTAAAATCAATATTTAATGTCCAATTATTTATTTGGTAATCAACAGCCATGTAATAAGAAATATAAAGAACAGTCACATGGTCATTGTCACAAAATAAGCCCTCACTGAATGATCAAGATGCTGTTGTGAAGCAGAAAGGTTTGTGGCATACTTTATTTTGCAATTGAGACCAACTGATTGTACATGATTAACCCTTATGAACTCATCAACAATCATTATAAAATATTTAAACATCAGTAGTCTGTGTACATCCCATAATGTATGCACATGAAAATATCAATCAATTTCAGGTATAAAAGAGTATTTTGTTACTATTCATTATTACGTTTTACAAACTCACTGTAAACTACAAAATACTTTCTCGCAATGGTTGAAATGTCATGACTGGCTCTCTTTTAGGTCTACGAGCAGCTTTATGATACGTTGGACATTATAGGTGGGCCCGAGGTCCGAGCACAAGCCACTGCCAAGGTAACTTTTTACCAAAAACTGCCACTAAGTTAATCAAGAATGATCGTTGTACACTGAAGGAAACATTTATTTGATCTCTTTTTCCCACCCCAGGCCACAGTAGCAGCGTTCGCAGCCAGTGAAGGCCATGCACACCCACGAGTGGTTGAACTCCCTAAAACAGACGAGGGGCTCGGGTTCAACATCATGGGGGGAAAAGAACAAAACTCTCCCATCTACATCTCCAGGGTCATCCCAGGAGGTGTTGCTGACCGACAGGGTGGTCTGAAGAGAGGAGATCAGCTGCTCTCTGTTAATGGAGTGGTATGCTGGGACAGTGTGTTTTTGAGATGTATAATTTAGCAACTATATTTTTGCATGTGTGACCATGGCTTTGATTTCAAAAGCTGTGGTTTGCCACAATAACATGTTAACATGTTTGCAGACTTCAAAATGTCCTTCATTTATTTATCATTGTGTGTAGAGTGTGGAGGGAGAACACCATGAGAAAGCTGTAGAGCTGCTAAAGGCAGCTCAGGGTTCAGTGAAGCTGGTGGTGCGTTACACCCCTAAAGTCCTAGAAGAGATGGAAGCCAGGTTTGAGAAGATGAGAAGTGCCAGGAGACGCCAGCAACATACCAGCTACTCGTGAGTGCGACTTCATCACTTTATTTTCCTTTCTTTCTCCTGTGGTTCTTTCCTTTTTTTCATCTTCTCTCAGCCGATTAGTAATCAGAGGAGATTCTTGTTTCTTTAGAAATAAGCTAATGTTCTGCTTTGATGCTCACCAGGGCTGCATTTATTTGATAAATATTACAGTTAAAACAGTAATATTGTGAAAAATGATTACAATTTAAAATAACTCTTCTATTTTGATCGTTTTAGAACAGCGTGTCATGTGCGAGAAGCTGCAAAAGACACAAGTGCAACAGTCAAACATGACATCAAGCACATTTACATAGAACAATTATGGAAAAGTAGTGAGTTGAATGCAAAAAGATGTTCTGTGTGAACTTGTTTTTCTGTATATAGAACTATCTGTGATTTAACATTTCCCCATCATCGTCTTTTCACCGACAGGTCTTTGGAGTCCAGGGGTTAACCAGTCTTAACTTCTGACTGGCCTGCTGATCCATTCTCCCACCCTTTCTGCTCCTGTAGGATGACAGAAGACCCTGGGGAGATCAGTGTAGACTACCCTTAGATATTTATGTTAGTGGAACGATCTCAAAACATGTAGACCTCAAATATACTATTTTCCCTGGCCATCCAGAGGGAGAGACTGCATAGTGCATCTGGTCTGTCTTGAGTCTGATTCTCTATTGTATTCTTATGTGGAACCTGCACCCTGTGATATGCTGTGTCTGTGTGTGTGTGTGTGTGTGTGTGTATGTTTGTGTCTGTTAGCACAGAAGAGAGTTTTAACAATTGCCTAGAGGGTCCAAATAGCACGCCGTGTCTTTTGCTGTAGGATTATTGATTATTGGTTTCTACTTAGACCCTTATTCTTTCACTCACTTATTGAATCTGTGTTTCAGAAAACATGCATTGACAATAGAGTTAAAGCTATGCATCACATTTACAGTATAAGTATTCTTGTCTCATGTGTTCCACACTGTGAGAACTACATCAGGAGGACAAACACTGTTATTCCAAAAGACACTTCCTGAATTAACTGATTGCTCTGTTCTAAGCATGCTATACTCAAATAGGGTCATGAAAATGTGCTGCTATGAGTGGCTTTGTTCTGCCAGTCATAATGCCTCTGTTCAATCCTTGAATTTTTTTTGTTTATTTATATATTTATTCATACATTAAAAGCAACAATCTAATTGTATAGTCTGGTGAGTTAATTTATGCCTAATGTCAGTTGTTTATAATTGCACAGTTTGGACAAAATAGCATAGTTGGTTCAGGATAAATTCAGGATTTGAGAGACCAAATGCACCATAAGCTGAAAATATATTGGTTTGAAATATCTCCTTTTTCAATGGGGGAGGCTTTGTCAATGGGCAATGGATCCAGGTTTTAATGAAAAAAATAAGCACATTTGCCTCCAAATTTCCCATTGTAGTCCCATTGTTTGTATGTATGTATCTCTATTAATATTTAATTTAAATAATATACAATTTATTTAATATTAATGAGAGGGAGCATTTGTTTTGCATTATGGTTCATGAAAGATTAACTAACTTTGATGAATTCTCATTTTTTATTATTATTATTATTTTTTTTTTATCGAAATGGTTTCAAAATAATTCCTTTCTTACTTTTGATTTTTGGGTGACATTTGGCTGACACAGAACTTGTTTAAAAAGATTTTTATTAAATTCACATCTAATGTTGTGAACCTCCCGAATGTTAAATTAATTTGCCTGTCACAAAAGGAAGAAATATATTTTAAAATCTTCTCATCGTAGTATAATAGTAGATATTTCTGTTATTTCTTTCTAAAGTTTTATTTTTTGTTTTTACTTTATTTTATTGTTTCGGCATTTTAACTATGGGTTAATGTTTATTCAAAAATGAAGCTCACATATGATCGAGGACTATTTTACCGTTTATTCCACGCGCAATAATTTATCTGACGGCTAAAGGACGTGCGGTCGTTTCCATAGCAGCAGATAAACTAAACCGAACCCATTCCTATGGATGGTTTATCTGTGACTAAACACATCAAGGGTCTTTTCAGTAACGTTAATTTTCGACGGATAGGAGTTCCTGCATCTATTTGTTTGTTTATTTTCAGTTTTGTGGATTAGTCAAATGGATAACCACAGACGAAAGGTCCAAACTAGCACAACCATTGGACATATGATATGTATTTGCAGCCTTCTCCTTTTTATTTAAAAACATGCAAGGTAGGGTAACCACCTGTCGATTTATACAAAATTATTTATAGTAACCAAAGTTACAACAGTTGTTGTTACTTACAGCTGACAGCTATTTTAGCAACTAAGTTAGCCTAACATTTGACCAAAAACGAAACTGAACCAAATAACAAAAGAATCCAAATAACAAAGTCGGTTTTAAACGCCTAAATTAACTATTTTTACATTTACAAAACAATTGTAGAATAACTAAGAATTACACTTTTTCAGAGACTAGTGTGGGATTTTGTTGTTGTTGTTAATTAGAGCTTTGATACCATGTGTACTGAACATATACTGTATATAACGTACTGAACATGAACAAGATTTGCTACAAATATCATTATATCATTCTTGTCACTGCCAGAATGCCCCTCTTCCTCCAGTCCTCCAGCGTCAGAACAGATTGCCGTCCTCTGTTCACTTCTCTCTCACCTCACACACTGAGCATGACCGAAAGCCACTAAATGGACCTCTTTACAATGAAATCCACTCTAAAGCCCCTCCGCACTGGACCACACACTTCCTCAATGACCTGGCCCAGAGGGTGAGATCTCTCTCTCTCTCTCTCTCTCTCTCTCTCTCTCTCTCTCTCTCTCTCTCTCTCTCTCTCTCTCTCTCTCTCTCTCTCTCTGTGTGTGTGTGTGTGTGTGTGTATAAAAGATAGTTTTTCTTTGGAGAATGTCCTTTTTGTTTTTGGAACTGTATACAGGCCTACACTTTTGCCATTTACCGGTATGTTTGATCTTCCGCAGCTCAGAGACCATCCAACGGTGCGAGTGGTCTCTAACCCCATCAGTGAAATGCGGGACCAGTACAGAGGTCAATTAGCTGCATGTACACCTCTTGGTGAACAATATAGCAAGATACAGGTGAGATGAAGAAGATGATCATTATAGGCCCAGGTGAATTTTGCACTTGTCCATCCCTTTCTTTAAAAAAAGCTCAAATCTGGGTCACAAGCAGCGAATCACTTACAATGGAAGTGATTTCTATCAAGTCCTATAGATGCTGTAAGCAATTATCTATTGTAACATGATGTTAGTGTGAAAACATTAACAATCACTTGATACATTTTCTGTGTAAAGTTGTATATAATTTTACAACTTCATCAGCGTAAATAATGCACAGGATTTAACAGGAAAATTAATTATTTTAGTTATTTTATAGAAGCATTTCTGTTTTCAAAAATGGCCCCATTCAGTTCCATTGTAAGTGTGCCACTGTATTCTAAAATTTTGCTTTATTTATTTATTTATTTATTTTTTGGTAATCAGTATTAAAGGTGCTATCAGCGATTTTGGGTGATGTCACTTTGTTTGTTTTTGAAGCAAGATCCCAAACAAACCAAGTTAGCTCACTCTGTTCAATAGGGACTGCACAGGGGGTTGCTCAGGTTGCCCGGGCAACTGCCCATATGCCCTTCTCGGCTCATGTTGCCCTTCCGAGGGGGAATAAATAAATATATCATACAATGGATGCAGAATTTCACATAGGCCAAGATAAAAAAAATCGCAAAGCCTCATTCACTTCCATTTGGGCACCGAAAGTGAAAGTCATTTAAAGATGAATTAAGGCAAAATGGCTGAAAAATCACATACATTAACATAAACATGTGATTAAATGGATTATTACTTTCGACCAATAGGTGGTGCAGTTACAAAATCGATGTGATGTGGTTTGACTGATGAAAAAAACTGTAGACCAGTGGCATTCAAATACGCAGATTTATTCAAAAGTTATAAGCATTATTAGAAATTTTGTTATAATTTTGACCAAAAGGTGGCGCTGTCTTGACATCTTTGGAGTACCTTCAGGGGATTGTGCTGATGGCAAAAAACGAGTTTCGTAATGTTACACCAATGCGTTTGTTAAGTATAGCGTGTTATGTTCTATTATAGCGCCACCAAAAGGCAAAACCACATTTTTTTCATGTGTCCTCAGAATGAGCCCATACATGTGTGTGTCAAATTTGGTGAAAATATCCTAATTGGCTTCGGAGTTATAGACATAAATATGAAAAAAACATGTGAAAAATGACTGACACGTGACTTTGATTGGATATTCCTACCCATTACTATCAATATTTTTGCATTTGGGCATTACCCTATGGCCAGCAACTTATGTTTCCAAACTTCTGACGGTGGTTTCGTCTCGATCAGAGTAATGGTTTCGAAGATTTCGGCAAATATTTTTTAAAAGCTAAATCACAACGCTACACAAACCGTAAGACAAAACCTATAGCTAGTTTGGTATCATTGGACTCGGCAAGGATTCAGGAATCCAACGAGTTTGGAATACAACATTTTTGTCATTGAAATACGATGTTCACAAAATATCTTCTTTTGTGTCCCACTGAAGAGAGTCAAACAGGTTTGAAACAACATAAAGAAGAGTCAATAATGACAAAACGTGGATTATTGAGTGAACTTTCCCTTTACTCATATCAACCCCAGAATATTTCTTTAACTTAATAAGTGGGCTTAAGGAGCTTTTTTTGGAGAGTGGGGAATATAAATGTATTTTTAAAGGGGGTTGAACGAGGGAATTTCAAACATTGATATTAAAAAATGCTAATTCATGTAAAGTATCTTAATGGATGACTCTCACAGCTATGAGGATTCAGCAGCATTCCGGCTGTTTTATCTCGACCTGAGCTTCTGGGCTGATGGAATGACTCACACTTCTCTTGCTTTTACTCAGGCACTCTACCGACAGCTGGAAACAGCTCCGGCGTTCATGCAAGAACCAGCCCGTAGCACAACCAAGGCAGACTTCAAGCACTTTCACAGGTAACTCTCCATCCCTAGAGGGCAGTGTGAATGCACTGGTGGATTAAATGGTAATTCCGAGATCTGAGGTCAGCAGTGGTGACTTCTCAAAAGTGATGATTGAGATCAAAAGGTTTACAGATCAGATTCAATCCCACGATGTAAGTGGAGGATAATGTACTATTTGAGTAATCAGCTTTCTGGATACCATTAGAGCAAAGCATCCATCCCAAGAACATCACTTCAGGGGGTGATGTGAATCTGTGATCTGGCCCATGGTGAATCATGCAGTTAAAGCTACAACTGGTTCTTGACTTTTGAACGTGTACCACAGAACTGCAGACAAGATATCTCACATTGCTATGATTAGTTAGAATTACAGTGTGCATAATACACTTTTAGTTATCTAACTGATCAAATAATCATCTTTAAACATCTTTAAACATGGTCAAACCTTCAGGGTCAGATCTGATCACAACAGTTTTTAGGTGATTAATCGAAATAGTTCACCTAAAAAGTACAATTCTGTCTTTATTTACTCACCGCCGTTTCATTCCAAACTTGTATGACTTTTTATCTTCTGTAGAACACACTTATTTTTTACATTATATTTTTCAAAAGTTGTCTTAGCATTTGTTTTTGTCGTTGTTTTGGATCACATTTATCTTCATTGTATGAACAAAGACTGTTGAAACATTCTTCAAAATAGATCCACAATGTGTGTTACACAAAGTCATGCAGGTTTGAAACAATATGAGGGTAAATAAATGATGACAGACCTGAGTGAATGATCCCATTAATAATCATTAGGCTTAAGGTTAATCCAACATTGAATATGGCACATCAGATGGATGCTTTATTTTTCATGTTGGCTTGCTGCAGGCAGACTGAAATGATTTAGTGTACCATAGCTCATCTCACCATCTGGCTTGGCCTCCTGAACCTTGTCAGCTCTTGATTGGTGGGCTGCACTCAAGGTCACAAACACACATTGACACTAATTCACACACCTCTGCATATTTTTTTAAAGTGGTATATCTGCTTTGCTGACTTCATAACTAAGAACAAATTGTTTTAAGAGCGCTTAAAACTTCATGTGTTTTAGCTTATTTTTTGAGAAAGCAGTGTACTAAGATGTTTCCTAAGAATGAAGAGCTTTAGTCTCAGAGGACCCACAATCTCCCAAATGGGTTTCTATTGACAAAGTAATATATGGGCTGAGTGAATGGTCAGCATAGAGATAAGGCAAGAAGATAATGGACCTCAAAGCACTAGTGCGTGCATGCAATGTATTAATACTTTACTGCGTGCCATGTGCCTCCTCGTTACCCACTAAATCATTTTCTCTTTCTTTTTCTTAGTCATTGATAATCCTCTTTTTCAGGTCAGATTTGTCTCCTCGCTCCGTCCTGGATGCAACTGCCTTTAATGGGAAACTTACCAAGAGCGGGGCTCACAGCCGACTCCCTGCTCACAAAGCTCCATCCACTTTATCATGTCAACCCCGGCTGCCTCGCCCACCTCTCCCTTTGCCCCACAGGGGCAAAAGCAGTCTGTATATGGACAGTTTTATGGTACCTATGCCTCCCTTAACATCACAAGCTGCTGATATTGCACAAAGCGGGGTGAAATGGGAAGAAGATGGTGGTAGAGGCCTGTTACTGGACATTTTAGGTGTTCCTAAAATGTATAGTACTGAGAATCAGACATATGGAAGAAATAGGATGTCAGTGGTATAAGAAAATTTTGCTGTAATTGATCTGAACTTAAACACTGAACTTAAATGGTTTCATCAATATTGGTTAATTTCCGTTCTTTTCTTGCATCCCTCAGAGGGTCTGTAATAAATGGAGAACAAAACATGTTAGAAGTGATTGGTGGAAACATTATTGATTTATTGATCTGGAGTGTGTGCGGTTTGTGGCTATGTATTCTTTATCCTTAAAGGGATTTTTCACTCAAAAATGAACATTCAAGATTACAGGAAGTATGTTAAAAAAGAATCCTCGAGAAAAAAGACAAAAGACCATGAGGAGGCAGGCATTTCACTGAGGGACAATCTAAACAACCCAAGAGGGTTGCACTGTAACACTATATCATAAAGAGAGCCGAAAACATGACAGAGAGGGTGCTGGGAAAAAAATACAGAGAATTTGGAAGAATATTGCAGTTTAGTCCAAATTTTGTCCCACCCAGTTTCCTCCACCTACCTGAACTTGCGACATCTCTCTCCTCCCCCAGCTCTGCCTCCTGCAATGTGAAAGAGAGAGAGAAACTGATTTAAGGCCAAGGAGAGAGAGAGAGAGAGAGAGAGAGAGAGAGAGAGAGAGAGAGAGAGAGAGCGAGAGAGAGAGAGACTGATTTAATAAAGTTAAGGAACAGGACCAGGGAAAGATTATGTGAAGGAGGCTAGATTTATCTTTTAGAGAACTATTAAAATCAGATAAATTGGCTAAGGGACAGTTATGGTCATTAATAAAATATCAGAAAGAATAAACGTTATTAACCATGTCTAGACACATTTGACCTCTTATTGTGCTCAGATACTATATTTTAATTCGAATATTATATAATCCTACCTTTTTGTATGCAATAAAGCTCAATTTCAGAAGTTTCCAAAAGTTGGTGTGTCCCTTCAGGATATGTTTTTTCCCAATATCTACCTCCTTTTGCCCAGTTTACATTATTTGATTTTCTTGGATGTTGAATCAGTTTAAGCAGAATTCTGAGACCTGGTCTGGTGCTTGTCCTAAGTGGTTTAGCTTTGTTGTCTCTTTTACACAGCGACACAATCTGTGTGGAATTCCCATGAGAAGGAGACTCAAATCTGTATAGAGTGACTGGAGATCAGGGCTACAGATTTACACTCGAAATTTACGAGCAGGAAAACACACTGACCAAGGTAAAATACACTCATACTGGCCAGTAGTGGAAGTAATCTGGATGTCATTTATACTTTCTTATACTGTATTCTATACATTTTATGTAGAATTTCAAATAAATGGAGTTTAAAAGTGAATTTTAAGTTTCAATTATTGATTATTTAATTTATGTGATCTAGTTTGCGAGTTCAAGTCTATCTATCGTAAACTTAATCGTTCATTTAACTAATTTTTGTATAATTCTATATGAAGTGGGTATTGGAATGTGTTCATTTTTAAGGGCTAAAAAATCGTGTAAAACGTGACACTGGACGAAATGCTGGAGATAGCGACAGGTTAGATTCTTGGCGTGTATATGGTTAAATAACACAGGGTGGGGTTTGGGGAGGGGGCACCAGCTGCCACCTTTCCCTTTAAAGAGCTGAAGGGAGGGAACACCACAGAGGGATCCCATGTTACCTTTAGATTAAGGACTAAATTGCATGGAAATACAGATTTACAAACCCAAAAGATCGACAGAGAAAGAAGGGTGCATGGGAAAAAAACCGACGGAAGAGATAAAGGGAGACAGACAGCTTCAGGAATAACATTTCTAGTCGTGCTGCTTGTTCGCCATAAATAAATTCACAGACCTCTCAGTCTACAACCTGTTTACGGTCTTTTGGACCCTGGACAACGGGAGCAGGTGAAGATACGGAAGAAAGGATGCTATAACAGAAAAGAAAGGGATAGACTGTTAATGGAGTGAGTGCATGAAGATTAAAGAAACAGAGAGAGAGGTGTTTCCCCGCTGCTCGTCTCGCTTGGAAGGATAGACTGTTTCGTTTAGGGAATAAAAGTAGCCTAATTGGTTAACACGAGCTTTGTCAAATCATAGAAATGCTTATTTATTACGGCGAAAATTATATGTAACAGTACACCCATGCCTTAAACGGGAGTATTTGAGGTGCAAGGGTAGCAGAGGTCAAACAAGGCGATAAAATAAATATATATTAATAAAACTAGTCTTTTATATCACTTAAGGAACTGCGCGCGACTACGCAGTATAGCACCTTTTGAACTGGCAATTCTTACATTATTCATTAACTGTTGCCATTATATACAATACAAAATCTTATGTTTAAAGCTAGCCTACATTCATTCGGACCCCGCGCCAAGAGGATCCCTCCATTCAGTCAGAAAACCCTAAATTTCACGTATAGAGTTTTTGTGCAGTTTGTGTGTTCATGTGCGTGTGTTCAGTAACACGCACACTGCACGCACGCGAACAGAGCCTGACCCAAAGCGAGTAAGTATGTAATATAGGTGTTTGTGCTGTGTCTGTGTCGTGACTCGTGATCTTGTGTTCAAGTTACAAAAGTATCTCTGTCTGTGTGCCCGGTGTACCAAAGACCAGGCCTGCCTACCCTCTGCCAGTCAACGGATTCAACAAGTAGTCAGGTTTACTTTGTTTTTCTCTCTTAAAACAGCTAGCGTGCGAATTATGGAATGATTTAATTAGGCTACCATAAAAGTCACTTCGAGTTCGCGAATAGAATTAGCCTGAGTAGGTGTCCATGGCGAATCAGTATGTATGTCACATAATCATATATATTTACACAATTATTAATATGTCACGACGACCTTTAGTTATTTACTTTTTTATGTTTATAATTTTACTGTTAGCTAAGGTGCTGACAGGAAAAAGTAGGCTCCATGAAGGTCACTCAATGATTCGCACACAGACTTAAACCCCTGTTTTTAAAGGTATTTCTAGTATGTTACATTTTAAGTAAGTAAACATGCATCATCACTGCAAACAATACTCAGTAAAAAGTATATTTTGGCTGTGGATGGAACTCTCTTCATCCTCCCATTTCTCCCATATCTTGCCAATACTCTAACAATGATTCTCAACTGGAGGGTCCCCAAAAAATTATTCTGATAAAGCTTTAGATTATAACAGTGCTAAATACAGTTAAGAATAGCTAAATCAGCTGTTAAAATGGAGGATGAAACGTTTCCCCTTGTTTTTTGTTCTTGACATTTTTGACTGTGCTCCTAATTCTACTTTATAGTATGATATTAACATAATGTTCATTGTTTGGTAATAGGGACATGATCTTGAACCAGTTGAGAACAACCAGTTTAAGCAACACTAACTTGTTTTTGTCTTCCTCTACACTTTCTCATCGTATCACACACCAGTTAAACTTTTACTATTTATTCCTCTCAGTCTCTGGCCTCTCCCCTTCTCCCTCCCTCCTTCACCTACTCACGTCCTATTGGATATTTAAATCATTTACACTTCCTCCTGCTGATGCCTTTCCATGATTTCGCATCCTCACTAATATAGCCCTTCCTGACAGTGTGACCCTTACCGATCACCTGAGATGACCTTCTCTGTCCTCCGTCTGGTTTTCATTTCATTTCATTTCCTTTTTTTTTTTTTTTTTGGTCACCATACTCCATTCTTTCCCACCTCTAAGAATAGTTTCCATCAAGTTCATGTGTGATTTGGCTTAACACAATTATATCCCATCTCTCTCCGGCTTCATTCCCTGAGTACTTAATAGGGGACTATAAAGGGATGGTAATTAACCAGAGAGGGCACTTTTATTAATTAGGTTTTAACGAGAGCTGGGGCTGGGGGCTGGATGGCGGTGGGGGGGGGGGGTCTTATAACTATCTTAAGAACACTATTATTGTTAGATATGGGAACATAGTCATGGAGCCTATGTCTCAGCGCTGTCCAGGGGCGGCTCGCCCATAGAGGGCGCTGGGGCGCCGCCCTCCCTCCGACCTGTCTGTCTGTTTTTTTAATATATATTATAATTTATAATTTTGAAAAATAATCAATGTTAATTATATGCTAATAATGGTTTTACTTTGAAAAGTGTTTTGAACTCACCAGAATGATATTTGCATTCACTTTCGTTACTTTTATCATGTTGGTGTGGTAGTATAGCCAATAGGCTGTCTTCTCAGGGCGCCAGTTCGCTCAGCCCCACAGTGCTGGAATTTAAGCCAATAGTTCCCCGGTTGCTATGCAAAAAAGTTTATATTTCGCCAATCAGCGTCGTCAAATTTTATGGTTTAGGGGCGCTGAAAATATCGCCCACAGTATCAGACTAGGGGAGTGCACCGTGCACGCGCACCACGGGACATTTTTTTTTACCTCAGATGAGAGCAGAATGGCAGCGTCAGTGACGTCGAGTGGAAATAATGTAAAGTAAGTCGTGGGAATTGACCTGTCTGTCTCTGTCACTCACTCACTCACACACACATAAACACTGTTTCACACACATTTGATATTAAAATAGTTATAGGAATATTAATACCTGTGTGTTTGCTTTGTTTTTGATGTTTTTAAGTTCTGAGCTAGATTACTGTGTTTCATACTAGTTAAAATCAACTTTCTTCTCATACTTGGGTGTTACCCTCAAGAATGTTGTCCCACCCTCTCCTTCACAGCCTTTTCTCTCTCTCTTTCTCTAGTATCAACACATTGTTATCCATTATCCAATTGTCAATTTGTCAAAAATATGTAATCTACAGCTGGGGATTGATTAAACTAGATTGTTGTATTATCTATTATTTTTTGTATTACCTATATTATAATGTATCAATATTATGCGTTTGCACTTTTTTTTGTCAGCACACAGAGCATAATAAACAACTTGTTCATTATCAGTAACTGTCAAACTGTTATTATTATTATTGTATTATTTGACCATTGGTATTGACTGGTTTAAGTTATTTTATTGGTATAGGTCTAAGGCCTAAAATGCACCAGAATGCAGGAAATCACATCTACTAAATTCAAAATTTTCTGGGGGGGGACCACCAGACCCCCCTCTTATTCAGCCCCCCGTCCAATATTTTTCACCAGCCGCCACTGGCGCTGTCACTATAAGATTAGTCTTCTAAGCTCCTTCCTGTATCTCTTTCTCTTGGCTGAAAAAGAGTGGGCCTTTTGAAAAGGGCTTCTGTTCTCAGCAGTCAAAGCGGAGTGATTATATAGTTTCAAAGCAGAGGTCAAAGTCTGACTGATGACCTTCTGGATATCGTATTATGCATGTGTGCCAATGTTGTGTAGTTTGTCTTTGCACAGCACAAATTCATTTTAAGCTAATTAATTGTGCTGTGACATGTTTTTTTTTTTGCAAATGTCTCTATGTTTGTGTACGCAAGCGTCCTTGCTCTGTTAATTTATTTTCTTTTAGTGCTTTTCCACAGGAGACGTCGATATGAGCAACTCGGCTAAGAGTAGCTTAGTGCACACAAATGAGAAAGAGAGAGAGAGAGAGAGCGAGGAAGGGATTGCAAAAAGCCTCAACAATCACTTGGCTCAAGCAGCAGGTTGAGGCTGAGATAATACCTGCTTGGTTTGTATAAATCAGCATTTACTGTATATTACATTTGTTAAGTGATTTCTGTTACTTAAAAGAGTGTATGGGCTAGACACAACCCTGTACAATGCATCGACATATGGTTTGCATAAGGCATTCATACCTCAGTCAGGGAGAAAGCTTCAAGAGGAGGGGGTACTGCAGTATTTTGTGCTGTGCAGTTCCCAGACGAAGCCTCTAGGTGGCCTTTGAGCACCGCTGAGCTTCAACTGCAGTGGGATAGCAAGTAGAAATATCCAAAGAACCAACACTGCACCAGACAGAGAGAAAGGGAGTTAGAGTGAAGGTATAATGCAGACGCAATACAGCATACTGTAAGAAAGAACAACAGTAGCGTAGATATGGGTCAGATCTACTTCCATCACATAATAGTGCATGTATGTATCACTTCTCTTTGACAATTGTTTCTCTAAATTGAATCATTTATGAATGGAGCCTCATTTACCTTTACTGCAGTCATTCCTTCACATTCCCCTCAGTGGCCGTAACCTGTTCTCTCCGTTTTTCCTCTCTCCTCGCTCTCTGTTGATAGAGTGCTGTTGTCTTTTATAGGCGTATCTGTCCTTACACATTCAAGCCCCATCCCAATGAACATACACTTTAATGTACTTCCCCCTTATCCAGGCACACACTTAACAATGATTTCCCTTTTATGGCAAAGCCTTTTTTTTTTTTTGCTTTGTGAGTACAACTTTTTCCCCTCAGTTTCAGAGTTTCCTATTCCGATTCCTTATAATTATTTATTTTACCACCTAAACACCTTACAAATCTAAACACCTTACAAATACTCCATTGGTTTAGCCAATGTTGAATGTTGGGCTACTCAGGCAAACATAGTGTTTTGATAGCGCAGTATGTATAATGCCTGATTTTTACGATTTGTTTTTATATTATTATAATTTATTATTGGTGAGATTTATTTTAGTATGTTTAGTATGTATGTTTAAGACAGTTCCTTGGATGTCTGGTATAATTTTTTTTTTTTTAATTGCTCAGCTATATTTCCAGTGCTTATACAGTTCTTAGCTTTAAATGATTAACTGAAACCAATGCGCTGTCCGTGGTGCTGAATGTAGAAACCAACCTAACTATCTTCAATTACAGAAGCAGCGAATCAGTTTACCTTCTTTCGTATGATTCAACCTCTCTCCTTCCTACGGTTCTCACTCACTAAGTGTTTCAACACTTAATCACAGGGGGACATAAGGGAAAGCAAGGGAAACAGTGAGCTGAGCAGAGTGGATAAGAGTAGATAAGGAATGAGGGAAGACAGTTTGACAGATATGTTTGGAGCAGCCAAACTAGAGGCACACAGATATACAAGAGTTCTTGTGAAAGCCGGAAAAGACAGCACAGCAAAACATGAGAGGAGGACATTTGTCTGTGAAATCTGACCCTTGTACACTGTTTTGCTAGGCAATCAAAAAATTGCTTTGTTTAGGAACTTCTAAATTAAGTTGTTTTATTCCATTTAATTTGACTACATTAGGTTACACTAACAAAAGTAATTTTTAAAGTTTAAACCAGCGGCATGTTACCACTTTTTTTTTTACAGTGTTTGATAATCCCAAGAGAAAAAGATAATAGCTTCCCTGCTCCATATTTCCAAAATGGGACATTTCGATTGGAAAATGAGCGGCAGTACTCACTTGTTTCACTATACGGCCAAGAAGTCAAAACATTCAAACATTTTAAGCACCATGAAAATATGAATGCATGTTTGTGCATATGAATCCAACACTTTTTAATAGAATATTGTAATTTTGAAGATTGCATCCTTACCACAATTATGACTGCAACCAAGGCTGACTGTACTGAATGGTCTGCATAGCATTAGTACTGCCCAAAGAGAGAAAGCAAAGGATAGTGTAAGAGTTAATGCTCTGCAGTCTTTTCTCCCTATTTTGTGTAGCTCAGCAAATAATCGTTCTGCCTTTAGCTTTTCTCCCTCTTCCTCCCACCCTTCTTCTCGCTCTCATTCTCTTCCTCTCCCTCTTTCTATTGGATACACTGAGAGCATGGTGTGAGGAGGGGGGTGGCTGTGAAACATTCAGTCATTTTCATCTCCCTTCCCTGTAATTGAGCAGAGTGTTTTAGTGAATTGAGGGACATGAGAGCTGAGTGATGGTAAAAGATGGAAACTGAGAGATGGGTGGGCATTTCAAAAGAGGAGGGGTCTCGTTCCTGTTTATTATGTGCAACTCACTCCTTCATTAGAATGCTTATCCCATACACCTGCATCAACATTCATCAAATGTTGTATGTTTCCCAGGGTCGTCACTAATATAAAATCACACAATGTTTATGGAAGGGTCCTTTCTTTTTGAGGCCCAATCAATACCATAAAAGCCCCCTCATGATGTTCCCAACAGCCTTAGGCTATATTTGCACTTTCTCCAGAATTTTAATAGGAACTTGACCATTATTGCACCACCTATACCGAGCACATTCGCGACTCGTGCAAGAACGAATAATGAGATGAGTTAAAAGCAGGTTACTTTTTTACCATCTTGATGATGTATGAAAGTATGAGCATCACTAATTTTCTTTTCTCTTCTTCTCTCCCACCGCAGGCTCCTCCTCCCCCCCTCCCCTCTCGGTTCTCTCTCCTCCTCTCCCTCCCCCTGCTCCTCTATGCTCAGTTCGGTGTGTGTCTCCTCTTTCAAAGGGCGCAAGGGTGGAAACAAGTCGTCCAACAAAGCATGTTACAGCGCAGACATGACTTGTCCTTCAGACAGCGAGAAAATAGTGATAAACTGCGGGGGGGTTCGGCACGAGACGTACCGCAGCACACTGAAGACGCTGCCTGGGACCCGCTTGTCCTGGCTCACGGAGCCAGATGCGTTCAGTAACTTTGACTATGACCCCAAATCTGACGAGTTTTTCTTTGACCGTCACCCTGCCACCTTTGCTTTCATCCTCAACTACTACCGCACTGGGAAGTTGCATTGTCCCAACGATGTGTGCGGTCCTCTCTTCGAGGAGGAGCTCGCGTTCTGGGGTATCGATGAGACGGACGTGGAGGCTTGCTGCTGGATGAACTACCGACAGCATCGGGACGCAGAGGAAGCGCTGGACAGCTTCGAGACGCCCGAGCCGGACCTGCCAGAGGACGACCCGGCGCTAACGGGCGGTGCGGACGGGGACTTGAAGAGGTTGTGCCTACAGGAGGATGGTCGCAACACCAGCAGGTGGAGTATCTGGCGACCCCGCATGTGGGCGCTGTTTGAGGACCCCTACTCCTCGAAATACGCCAGGGTGAGTTAGTGCATCGGCATCTTTCGAAATCTACTCTATTGTTAAACCTGTCTCTGTATGAGATTTTGAGCGCGCTTCTCGTGAACGTCTCGTAGTATCACCCTGTGTGAGTGAACATGGAAGTTTGCAGCAATTGGAAAAGTCCACTGTCGCACTTGGCATGAGCTGATAAGTTGTAAACCTCTGGGAAGTTTGCTAGAAAAGGACTTAGGGTCGTTATGTGGAGTCTTTCTCTGTCACTCTCTGAAAATGCAGCATTTTTGTCTCGCTGTAACGCTCTCAGCATGCGCAGTGGGTTTTAAAACTTACCTTTTTGATTCGGCTGTTCGTGTAAATTATGAAATGTTGAAAGATGAATGCTTTAATGGGTTGAAGAACGTTGTTATCCAGATTTCATACTTTGCTTTCAAGAATACTTTACTTTATTCTGGTTGGTCAGTCGCTGCATTCAGCCATCAAATATTTCTGAATAATTATGAGTGGCAACGCTGTAAAACTGACTGGTTTCCTTATTAGATGTAGACTAGTCATATTCAATTCTCTCCGCAGTCGCTACAAGCTAATAAAATATTTTCCTCCCAAATTAATATTTAATTTATTTTATTTATAAGTATGCGGGCAGCAAGCCAAATAATCCACAGCCAGACGGTCATGATCGCAAAAACAACCCCCTTAATTAATACACAATAGCCAGTCATTGCGCATGCGCAAAGAGTGCACATATCGCTGTTTGTCCATACTGCAGAACGGCACCTGGCAGACCCCTACGATATTGAACGCCAGGACATTTTCCCCGAGGTGTACACCATAGAGTTTTGGCTACGAACATTGCATTGCCTCGCAGATCTTGAAAGTTAGAAAAACGTTTCAGCAAAGCAGGAACAAGTGAGAAAACGCGCAACTGCCCATGCCTGAATGAGTGCGTCTAATTCAGCTCCCTTGGTCGTGAATCATTATGTGCATGAAATCGGGCACTGGTGAGGACCCTGACTCACTACACATTGGGACAATGATGGCTCTATTTCATGGCAACATGACTGCATCTGTGGCTCTTGTGCAGGTTGTTGCTGTGGATCCCCCTCGGTTGAAATCACAGGGCCTTCCTAAGCATTGGGCCCTGGCAATGTCTTTTTGTACACCATCCTTACTGGCATTTATGAACAACAGCATCATGGATTTTTGTGTTATTTAAAAGTACATTATGATAAATACTGTGATTGCTGCAAGTTGCAACATTTCAGCTGTAAATTATTTATAAATGTTAGCTAGATTATGTTCATTATCTGTCTAGCTTTGTATTTTTTATGCGGATACATTATTAAATAATTGTTTGTTTTTTAAAACATATTTTACGTGTTGTCATGTGCGGTGAGTAGTTGGCTCACATGATCATGTTTTTTTGTTGTAGAGCTTCCATTAAGGTGCATTGTGCACATTAATCTGCACGGTCCTTAAAATAACCGACTCCCTGATCAGTGCCCTGATTGAGCTGATTGAAACTATGATAGTGAACATGTTGTCATGCTTTCAAAATATTTAGTAATGTTGTATCCTTTATTAAATGAAGTGACCCATACCAATGGTAAGGGAGCCTATATTGTTTAACCAGATATTTGAAAAAAATCTAGCTTATCAAATAGGGGTGTAACAATATCCTCATGTCACGATTCGATAGGTACATATCACAATACTGAACTCATGATATATTATTGCAATACTCCGAAGACATATGGTAAAAGGTTAACACAAAATTTACTGTTGATTAAAATGCTAACTTTGATATTACATTGTGGGTTTAAATGAATAGGCTTGGACTTGGTGCGTGTAAGCCAAGGACAATGGTGACACCAGAATAAAAATATTCATGATTCTGAAGCTGAAAATACAGAATTATTGTAGACGAATATGCTTGCACTCTTTCTAGATATATTTAAAATAAATGTAAGCCATTTTTTACTGGTAACATCAGACATTTGGCACTATCAGATTCAGGACCCACAAATATTCCCCCAATGCATTTTTATACATTATAATCAACATTAGATAGTAGTTCAATGTAGTACTGACACTAAAACTTTTTTTCTCACACAGTAATTTTGATTTTGGGGGAACTATCCACGATACATATTGTCACTATCCATGATACGTATTGTTGCATTTTTGTATATTGCGATATAATGTGACATGATATATTGTTACACCCCTATTATCAAAGCAAGTATACTGGTATCAGGTTGTGCTTAGGTTTGTATCCACATTGGGAGTACAGAATATTCGCGGTATCCCAGAAACTAGATTCCTGTGGGTCTTGCTTTTAACTGAATCAGTTTCCTGCTTACTCGGCAGAAGCCCCGTATATCACTGCCAACACAATCACCTGATAATCACTACACCTGAAGCTTAAGTTCGATTTTTTTTCTGTGTGTCACGCTTGCGATCCCAATTTTGGGCATAATAAGGTCATTTGAATTCGTAAACTTTACACAGCCCAATTAGATGCATCAAACTACTTGCTTGCCATTTTAAGTGATTAATCATATAATCTTTTTTCCTGTCAGACAATAATATCTGTCATTATATAAAAAAGTGTAACGACTTTAGGAAAACAAAGCCACTTACTGACCCTTGTTTGAGAGATGTCTCAGCTGGAGTACGTTAAAGGTAATTCCCCCTTTGGCTCTCAGAACGTCATTCACTAGCTAGTGAACAGCAACCATTTATCTCTTTTATCATTGCAGGCTGGTTATTTAAGATATTTATCTCCCTCGTCACATCTAGGTCAATGGATCATAGCCATGCGCAGTCGATACACACTTGCTTTCTTAAATCCCCTGGGTTCCGTTTAACTGGACAGTTTTACTTTGTATTTTTGCCTGCATTTAATTGCAGAATTGCTCCTAATGCGTTTGAAGGGTCTGCGATTGCAAGTTGCCCAGCTCTTCTCACTGTTCTCAAGGGGAGGGAGAGATGCCGTCATCGTTTTACTGCGTCGTCATTGAACGGAGGTCTTTTATCAACCGTGACACGCATAGTGCTTTATTAGCCGGCTGCTGTATGGGTGCAGGGCCTCGTGCCGGATTGCTAATCATCACTTACAACCTCCATGTCCCTTTCTCTGGCTGTGCTATAGCGTAACACTGCGGCGTCTCATACTAGCTGACTGCGCTCTGATTTCTGCTGCAGAGCAACAGAGGCAGAGCCTGTGCATTTGTGTATGTGCGTGCAGCGTGCAGGCAATGCTGTTTGTCACTTTTTTCAATCTAAAAAAATATGCAAATGCATGCAAAATGTGTATTATCTTGATTTTTGCCTACATTTTTATCTGATTCAGTTTTCATTTTAGGCACTACAAGATGTCTTCAAAGTAAACGCTGACTTTTAAAAACTGTTGTGTCAGGCTCGGGCACCATAGATAAATAGCATGCGTATCTGAGTTGATGGTGTCAGGACTCAGGACTAGAGGCTTTCTCTCTCTCTCTCTCTCTGTGGTTAAATCCCTGCTGGTTTAAATTAGCTGGTCTAGTGAGTCCATACATAAGTAAAGAGTTGCAGTAAACCCTGGCTCCGTATTGGCCTGATTAAAGGTTTACAGTTAAAGCAACACTAGGTAAGATTTCTTTCCTTAAAATAATGTTTCAAAAATAGTTTCAGTGGTTCATCAAGTCGTAACAGGGTTAAAGGCACTTATGCCTCCGCTTTGCGGTCCTATGTCTTCTATAACCATGGTATGTAAGATTGCCAGATCGGGTCACGTTTCTGTAGTTCTAATGAGACATAAGAAAACTACAAATTTGACTTACTTTACGTCAAGCGTTACAATAGTCATTTATTTTGTTTTTCTTCATTTCTGGATGATATTGTAAAATACATCATACTTTCATGAAATCATGCTACATACTCTACCTTGTCTGTGGACATTGTTTATTTCAAAGCCGGTGCTGGATAAACAATGAGCGTGTGTGCGACATTAGGCTGTGGTAGGCTAAATTATTTACAACAGCAGTAATGGACAACTCAGCTTCCAACCTGTAGGGCGACCGCAGAGGAAAAGTTACTTGATGTTGCTTTTACTTCAGTATCATTTAATTCAGGGGGTTTAAAAGTGTTGATGTCATGAACTCATGAACAAATATGACGATTCCCTTAGACCCCCTATTTACAAAGCAAATATAGTTTTGTCTCTAAAGATAGTATTATAAAAAATAAAAAAAGTATTATAAAGCTGTTTAAAATATTACCTGAAAAAATATTTACTTTAAGTTTACACTGTATTTTTTTCCTTACCTCATTTAGAGTTATTTTATTTTATTGTGAAAAGAAAATATAATAAATATTTGAAATATATCTGGAAACTATTTACTTTCTATTAAGCAGACACTGTATATTTTTTTAACCCATTAGACATTTTATATTTCATTTTGCAATATATACTGTTAAAAGATATTCTAAAAGTATGTGTAAAATATTACCTGGAAAATATTTCATATCTAATAAGTTGACTGTTATTTTATTTATCTTACCATTTATATTATGAAACCAATATGATAAATATGTGTAAAACATTATCTAGTAGAAATCTAGTTTCTATTACCTTGACACTATATAGTTTCCTTTCCACCATGAAGAGTTATTTTATTTTATTACGATTACCAGTCCACTGGGGCCCAAACTCCAGTTTGACAACCACTCTCTGATCTAATTGACAATTGTCACTATTGCATAATTAGTAATTCATGTGTGAAGAACCAGAGCAAAAAGTGCTTCATTTGGAGAGAAGGCACAAAAGATACTGTACACACTGGAGTTGTAGGGCAGATTAATAAAGGAAGACCACACAATAAAACGTCCTCAGTGACCGTCACCTGAGGAGCAAGTGCGTAGTTTGCAGAATGATCGGAATGACTTTACTGTTGTTCAGCATCTCAAGCTTGTAGGTGAGCACATGTTGTATGGATAACAACCTGCGGCTGCATAGTCATTCACGTGCAAAATCCTATTCG